ATTCTTAAAAAAAAAAATTAGATTTTTCACGAATTAAAAAAAAAAAAAAATTGAGCCGGCTCGGCTCGCTAAGGCCCAAGCCTAAATTTTTTGGTCGAGCTTTTGTTCTGCTCAGCTCAACTTGGGGCAAAAAAAGTTCGAACTATTTCAAGCCGAAACGGAGCAAAAAGTTTTGGCTCGCGGCTCGACTCGACTCGACTCATTGACACCGTTAGAGACAGCCAAGAAATCTATTTACTCAGTTTCAACCAATTGTTACTGTGTATAGCTGTAAAGTCCAGGAAAATGTGACATCCAAGAACAAATGCAGCTTTTTCTTAGCAATATCTATTTTATCTTGCTTTTATTTTAACTCATGTATGAGCCACGTTATTTTGGAAGAATTTATTCTGGAATAGTAGATTGATAGAGAACGTATGGTTGAAAAAGAAGAAAAAATTATTGATGTGATGAAAAATATTATTTTATTGAAGAATGTGTGGTTGAAAATGAGTAAAATAATGAGAATGAGAATTCTAATGTATACAGTATTTAATTTCTTGAACATATTATTCACTAATAAATACTACACTTTTTGAGCAGCCATCCCATCCCCATTTGTAAAGTGGATTTTGCAGCAGACCCTTGCTTTTGTCCGGATGAAAATGGATATTGAGTTATTTCCAGCTGGTTCGCTTTATATTCTTTCTTCAATTTACATTTGCTTCTTGTCTAAAAATGCTGTCACAATTTCATTTACTCTTTTTTTTGTACTTGTGAATGATCCTTGACAATAGAATTATTAAACTTCCACTCAATCCTTGATAATTCTTCTAACAAATTCTCTTAGCCCACAGTTTCTTCCTAATAAGGAAACAATAAAATCAGAGAATCATTGTGTATGTAGTTATCACAATCCCTTAATTGGGGGATTTAAATTAGGGTAGTTTCCTATTTTAGTTGGTCTCCCTAAGTGTATAAACTCAACATTATATAGCTTATTTGAGCATAATGAATGAGAATAATTCTTTAATTCTTTACATGGTATCAAAGCTTTAAGCTCTCTTGGAATTAATAATTGGGATTTTTTTTTCTTGTTGGCTCATGGCTGTTTTTCAGCCTTAATTGCTGTTTTTTGACTTCATTCAGCCTTAATTGCTGTTTTTATACTTCATTCAGGTTCTGTTTGAAAATACAAATTTTCCATGGTTCCATTTTTCAACTTTTGCCTTGTTTGATACCATAAATTTGTCTTGGAAAATATTTTTTCCAAGAAGCTTCACACGTGCACTATTTCTTGGATTTGGAGGAATTAGATTTCCCACCTTTTTGGTGGGAAATCTGATTCCAGTTTTTCGGTTTTTTTTTTTTTTTTGTTGTAATGGAAACAAATTTCATAACCAATTATAAATTTTTTTAAAAATTTAATGGACAATTTTCATGTAAAATAAAGCCAAACGAACACTAAATTTTGATAAAAAAATGATTTTCTAGGAATTTTTTTTCACTTTTTATTTTTTACTTTTTGCCAAGAAAACAAATTTTAAAATCAATTGTGGAAAAAATTATCACTTTAATGGATAATTTTCATGTGAAACAAAGCCAAACGAACACAAAAATTAGGGGTGTCCAAAAGTCTCGAACCGAATCGGACCGAACCGAACCGAACCGAACCGAGCGGTTCTTCATAAATTAAATACCCGAACGGGTACCCGAATTGAGAACGACGGGTTTGGGTCGGATCTCGGGTCT